TAAATGCAAATGGAAATTTGGCAATAATAGTAAAATCTTGTTGTGTTTGAGGTTATGATGTCAATTGTACCCTAGTACATAATGGCATTTACTCAAGTTTTAAGTTAAAGATAAAGTCACTAAGCACTATTACATCACCAATACATGCGTCACATTGGCTATGTTTACACAGCAGGTAAAAGTGGCCCAAATCTGATTTTCTCACCCAATCCGATTTTGTGTTTGGCTGTTCACATTATCTTTTAAATGTGACACTAGTCTGAACAGATCAGCTCCTAAACCAACCCGCATGCGCAAAAGAACAATGCTTTACGTGGCTTGTCCAGAGGTAAACAGTCATGCTGGCCAGCGAACCCCAGGCGCTCCCAGAGCTTTCCGTTTCATCATCACTAGCATCACGGGAGAGATTATAAAGTTCCAGTGGTTGACAGCTGGGCTCATCACTCACAGTGGGTTTGAGTTTGCTGTATAAAGGGCTCGTTATTTGGCCACAGCCACTTCTTTGGTTCGTGTCCTCGGATTCTTTAAACTTTTTTCTTCTGGCTGTGTTCAGCTGTTTCGCTCGAAACCTCTTCAAACACAAAGCGGTTTGATGAGTCTCTTCTAATGTTTTGGTACAGAAACATCAGACCAAATGTTTATGAGTCTCAGCAGTGTGAAATTATGACGAATGTCGAGTTGAACTGGCATAAAAGTTGCATGAATTCCGATCTGGCTGTTCAGATTGAGTCGCATTGCTGCAGATCGGATACGTATCGGATTTCAGTACCACATATGAAAGCGTCTCAAATCGGAATTGAAAATGTCAGATTCAATGCATTTTTTGCTGTTCACACTGACAAACAGACACACATCTGTGTCGCAAATGAAGAAAAAGATCAGATTTGGGCCACTTTTACCTGCTGTGTAAACGTAGCCAATGTGACCTAGCACTAGCAAGATGCTAATGCTATTAGCATTTATGCTAGCCTCTGCTGAATGAACATTTTTTCCTTATTGCTTATATTCCTCTCAAGAAGGTGGGAAATGAACTAGAACTAGAACCATAGGTTCTCATTTGGGTTAGTTCTTGATTTTGAACATGCAGTGCAAAAACACCCTTATGAAGCGAATTCTTCTTCATTAAACCCTGCAGTGAAATATGTGACTGCTTCATATCGATGATTATGTGACAAAAAATAAAATAAAATAATCAAAAGTAGTTTTAGAAAGCGTTGACTTGGAAGATCTGTTTAAAAAGCCTGGTTAAATAACTCTCATCATTAGTACAAAGTTCTGTTAGCACTACAGGCGCTATCTATATAAGTTCTTTGGGATGTAAAGCTGATTTGTCCTATAACTTAAAAAATGAACATCATGTTAGTCTTTATTGTAGTTTAACGGACACATTTTCTTTCTCATTTTAAAATATTTTGGGTTCTGTTTTAGTTTCAGCTCCTGAAACATTAGCAACCGACAGAATGTCATAGAGTTTGTTTTATCACCCCCCCCCCACACACACACACACCTCCACCCCCCCAACTGCACTGTTTTCAGGTCTTTATCCATAAATAATGGTTCGGCCACTTGGAAGAGAATCTGCAGCTTCACCATAACATTCGTGGGCCTTTTTTATTTATTTATGAAGGGAAAAGTCCACTGGGAGAGAGGCCTTATTTACAGTGGGGCCTATACACAAACAGAAGGGAAAAAAACAAGCGGCAGTATGTAAAGCAGCTTAGTGAATAAGAAATGAAAGCAAGCTATACTGTCTGCAAAACGCATTTACATAAACCAGTGCGCTGGCACCAACACTGAGTAAAAATAAATAAATAAATAAGGCTATTTTTTATTTACTTCATGAAGTGTTAACAATTCTACGTTCAGTAGAGATGTAAGGAACATCTGACTGAAAGTATCAAGTTCAGATTTTTAGGATTACACTGTATAAGAACTTCGTTTTAGCCACCAACCGCAGGAGTGGAATTCAAGGCTCGGCACACCTGCGAATTTGTTGTGCCCATTCAAAACTGCAGTCCTGCAGCCACTACTGCGCATAAACTAGTGGGTTAGCCCACCGTTACTAAAAGCTTTTGAAGGATGAACAATTACAGCAGTAGTGGTGCACTTGCGAGTGATAAACAGCGTCAACTGTTTTTATTACCATTTTATTTACCACATATCTGGGATGTGCTGGATCAGGATGCGGCTTATTCTAGTACAAATTAAGCCCTGACGAGGACAGAGATTATGATGTGCTAACAAAATCAAATAGCCTGATTATCAGCTCTCCACAATTAAGTTTAACCCCTTAAAATCCCAGGCTTATTATTCAGTAACTACAGGGACTGCGGTAACACTTTACTTGCAGGGTATCTATATAACACATTCATAACAACTTACATGACAGTTTGTAACATGTTTGTGAATGTTTAAATCAACATTTAAAACGTGTACATGTTTTACAGGACATTAAGATGGACTACTATGTCATTTCACTTAGATACATTTTTTTTTCAAAATAAAAGTCCTCATTTTTTATTTTAAAAAAGTATATTACTTAAATCTAATAATCCAAAAGTATATTATTAGTAAATTACTGTCCATATACTAATCTAGCATGCAAATCAAAAATCATTCTTCTTAAGAAAAAAAAAATAAAAAGAAATTGAAAGTATATGGGACATGCATGTGTCAAAACACTTAATGACCACAGGGGTAAAGCAAGGTCATTTTAATTTTGGCTGTCCAGAAATTAGGTGTTTCACTGAAAATAATATGTTTTTTTTTTTTACATTAAAAATTAGACTTTTATTTTGAAAAAAAAGTCTTTCAGTAAAATGACTTAGTAGTCCATATTAATATCATATAAAACATGTCTGCTTTATGAATGTGGATTTAAATATTTATGAACATGTTATGACATGTTTTTGTAAGAAGTTATGAATGTGTTATGTAGACACACCAACAATCCGGCCTCACTGCCAACAATCAGGCCGAAATTGGACCCATCTGCAATATACAGAATTAACAAGCATTTATGTTTCTGTATGACTGAGTTAGTCCCACCAGAGTTTGCAGAAGACCAGCCCAGAGAAGTCCAGATCATCGAGGACGACACGGCCACTCTGCCCGTCATGGTGTCTGCCAATCCGAACAATGTTAGCTGCGAGTGGGTATTCCAGGGCGAGAAGGTGGTTAAAGGTAACAGCCGTTATAACATCTCAATACAAGTTCACACACACACTCTCTTACACCCACTCACACTCTGCCATATGTGCGCTGAATAAAACATTGGCAGGCTCTGTGGCACCATGGCTGCCAGATGTGGTCCTGCCTGGTGTGTTAATGTATGCAGGCTAAATGAGGATTGCTGTCATGCTGAATGTTACACAGCGTCTGCAGTCTGCACCGCTCCGCTGAGCGCTTCTCATCAGTTCAGGCCCCTCTGGATCCCGCCCTCGCCCCCCACCCTTCCACACAGGCCTGCCTGTAGCCCAGAAGGGACACATACTGCACAGGACAGCTGTGCGTGTGTACCGACAGTGTTTATGATTTAACTGTGAATACTTTATATGTGTCAGTGTATATGAGTGCACTACTGAAATTCATTTGATTGCTTGTACCACCATTCAGAAATTTAGAATCTCTGTTTTCATTTATATTAAACCAATATTGTTGCAGATACATGTAAAAAAAATAGATTAGATGTGTCCAGAATGATGAACAGCATTGTAGATGAGTCTAAAAATGACTAAGCTGAAGAACATTGAGAATTAAGTTAGAATAAAATTATTATCCACAACTTTTTTCCTGTAATGGCCAAAATGTGGGCCGTATCATCAGGAGACCAGCAGTTCAATCTTCAGTGATACCACAGCCAACCATGGCCAGGGGTCCAAGACAACATAACTGGCCACACTCTATTTGAGTGGGCAGGATGGTCCTCCCTCCTGCCTCCATCATTCAGGGCAATGCTAGGTAGCATGGATGTCTGTTAGCTGATATAAGAGGATTGGTGGTTAGTGTTCTCCTCCAAGTGTGTTGAGCTGTCCAATGAGGTTGCATTAACAGTGGTTTGCAAAGATGCAGTGTCACTACATGGGTCTTGGGGGAGGTACTATGCTAGCCTTTACCCAGCTTGGGCACATCTTGTGATAGTGGAAGACCGTGATAGTGGAAGACCTAGCTAGTGGGTGTAATTGGCTATGACTAAATTGAAGAGTGACAAAAATATGTATATTTTTTCTATATTTTCTAATTAAAAAAAAAATCTCCATTTTTGTCATTTTTCAGTTTTTGACATCATTTGAAAATGTTGCCCTTTACATTGTGTGTAAATGTCATGATGAATAGACTAAAAGAAATGATTCAAAAGTACTTGGAAAAAAATCTGGTTCCATTGACTTACATTAAAAGTAAAGTAAGTTTTTTCCTTCTCCTGTAAAGTCACCATTTTGGACATGAGGTTTTGTTCCCAAGCAGCAATATAGGTTGGCCTGTGTTTGAGAAGTGGTGATCACTTACCATAAATAGACAAATACAGTGTGCTGTCTATTATGTAATAACGTATTAAGTATAAAAACTTCTAAAAATACCTTTGGATGTATGGATTATAATATTACTGTCTACACTGTATAAGATATAAGTTATTGCTGAATACAAAAGCTAATGATTTCTAGTTTGAGAAGTGATTCCAAGTTTTTGATTTCAAACTTTTAAGCAGTAGTGTACTTGATGTGTGTGTATGTTTGTGTGTGTGTGTGTGTGTGTGTGTGTGTGTGTGTGTGTGTGTATGTGTGTACAGAGAGGGATCATCGGTACCACTTTCCTGAAGGCTGGACGCTGGAGATCTGGAACGTGAGCAGACGTGATGCGGGGAATTACAGAGTGAAGTGCTCCAATGCTGAGGGAAAGAACAGCACCATCATCAAACTGGACGTCCAATGTGAGAACCCCATTTAGAACCAGTCACTACACTTCTTAACACTGCGTCTTCATTTATAGAGATTTAAAAGCAGACTTTCAGAGTCAGATGTATATACAAGCACACATAAATTTAAAACGTGCTGCGCTTTAACCACAAAACGTGCTTACGATGTGCCTGAAATTAACATTTGATTTACCAAGGCTCACTCATGAGGCTCAAGGTTTAAAGAAGCAGTGAAATAATGGAGCTGTCAAAAAGTTCCAGACAAAACAGAGATGGAAAATTCAGTGATGAAGAGATAGCGGTGTTAATAAATGAAGTTCTTTCCCACCCAGACATTCTTCAGGGGTGTAATTCAACAATATCAAAGAAAATAGTTTGTAAAACAGTTCGTACTGTGGCCGAGTCATGGCGTATTTTGTGACGCCTCTTCTCTCAGACTTATTATCTACATTCAAATACATACGAATGCGACACTACCTCGTTTTAAATGGTGAAGAGATATCCATGCAAAACCATCTGTCGTCAGTTTCTCAAACTTTAATGCAGCTGCAATTCCAATATATCCACCCATTATTGTATGATCCTCCAACAGTTCATGCAGTCCTCCCTTAAATGCTTATCTGTAAGAGGGAGCAAAGCAAATTTCACATTTTTTCGATGCCCATGGCCTACAAACTGGACGTCTAGGCTCGTGTGCCAGTTTTGTACGTAACATGCAGACAGAATACATCTGATTTGTGGCTGAAACTGCACAAAAAGCTTTGAACATCGGGCCCTGAAAGTTCAATGACAAAGAGGTTGAACTGTTAATAAATCGCTGCTGTCGGAACAAAACCTCGTATCTCCAAAATGGTGACTTTACAGGAGAAGGAAAAAACATACTTTGCTTTTAATGTAAGTCAATGGAACCAGACTTTTTCTCAAGCAACTTTGGGCTATTTCTTTTGGTCCGTTCGTCATGAAATTTAAACACAATGTAAAGGCCAAAAGGCATTTTCAAATTATGTCAAAAATTGAAAAACGACAAAAATGGAGATGCAAGGTTTTGTTCTGACAGCAGCGAAATACAGTTGTTTTCCAAAGCATTCTACAGGGGTGTAATTTAACTCCAATGAAATAGTAACATGGACTGTGAGCAAATATTGCAGCCACATGATTATTTCTCACAGATGTTCTTTTGATCCTGAGAGCTGAAACAGTGTGACTTTGGTGGAAATTGTCCCTTTAGCATGTGTTTGAGGCTGGTGACTTGGCTTGGCCACTATGACTGCTGCAGCTGTTAGAGGAAGAATGCATCAGAGTTAAGCCTAAAACTGGAGCACAATGCTGGTTTCAATGCTTCTGAAAGTTCAGTGATGAAGAGATATTAATAAATCGCTGCTGTTGGAACAAAACCTTATAGCTCCATTTTTGAGTTTTTGGCATAATTTGAAAATGCCTGTAGTCCTTTACATTGTTAATAATTTTAATGGTGAAGGGACAAACAGACCAACATGACTTGGAAAAACGTCTGGTTCCATTGACTTACATTAAAAGTAAAGTAGGTTTTTTCCTTTTCCTGAAAAGTTGGCATTTTGGAGATACGAGGTTTTGTTCCAATAGCAGTGAAGTGGAGATAAAGAGATATTGTTGTCTCACAAGAACAGATACTACTGTATGTCTATGCCTAGAGGAAAATCCATGCAAAACCAGCCACCATTAGCTACAGACATTTTAGGAAATTGAGCGGAATATAAAATTAGCCACACCTCAAAGATCTCCACCCATTTTCTACGTGATCCTCTCACATTTTGCACACTCCTGCTTCATATACATATGCATATTTTTCCATGCACACAGCCCGGAAACTGCATATTTAGGCTTATATGAAAGTTTCAGAGCAGAATGAAACCAATTTGCATGTGAAACTGGCATAAAGGACTGACTACTTTGAGCTTTCAGTGTCACAACCTCCTCCCAAATCAAGCACTTTCTTAACACTGTTTCTTTATTAATACAGTTTACAAGTCAGGCTTATAAAAGAAGTGCTATAAATCTCACCAACTGTGGCTGATCTGTGACAGTTAAAGTAATGGATTTCCTCCACTTTTGTAATCATTATATTTGCTTGCAGGGACATTATTTATATCTATCTCGGATACAGAGATGGTGTGATTTTAAAAATAACCAATACTGTTGTGCATTTGGTTACATAAGGCACTGCAGTGAAGCATCCTTTAAAAGGACAGTTCTGCCAGGGATATAGACACATTCTTTATTATCACTTACTTATAGTGGGCAAATTATTTTGTGGCGGTTTAAACAAAAGAGCGAGAGGGAGAGGGAGAGCAGAAGAAAAAAGAGAGCGATACTGGCCTGTAAGCCGTCTCTTACCTCCTTAATGATTTAATAATAGCCCTGCTTCAAATCTAGGCCTGCATGGTCTAGCAAATCCTCCATCACTAATGGATCCCTACGTCCTGGTACAATAGCAGTCGACAGTGGTAGATATTCATTATGTATGGGCCGTTTTAATAGCTTTTACGGATGGCCCTGTTTTTCCATGTAGGAGCTCCTCTTTCATCGGTTTAAGACAATGGGGAAGCGGCTCCAGTGTGTCAACACATGAGGGGTTACACAAGTGCTAATGGGCCGCTTGGTTAAGAACATGATTCCAGTGGGAGCGGAGAGAGGGATGAGAGAAAGAGGAGGAGAAAATGGAGGGGCTTTGGGCCCAGGCTTTTAGCCCACATTCTTCTGGGGAGTGGCTGCTCATTTGAGGCCTGATCATTTGTTGAGAGTGCCTTTAATTCCTCACTGTTTGTGCAATATGTGTATAAATATTGTTAATAACCATTTCAAAATTAACCTCCTTTCAGTTATATATATATATATATGCTGTCAGAACATTAATTTACATTACATAATGGCATTTGGCAGATGCTCTTATCCAGAGCAACTTACAATTTCATCATTTTATACAGGTAGGTGAAGGTAGCGTTAGGAGTCTTGTCCAAGGACTCTGATTGGTATAGTGTAGGGTTCTTACCCAGGTGGGGATTGAACCCCAGTCTACAGCATAGAAGGCAAAGGAGTTACCCACTACACTGTATCGACCACAAAAAAGGCCCAAAATTACTTGGAAAAATGTCTGGTTCCATTGACTTACATTAAAATTCTGTCTCCTGTAAAGTTACCATTTTGGAGATATGAGGTTTTGTTCCAACAAAGTCACCTAAACACATTGTTTAAAATGATTGATCTGAGCAATAAGTGGTTTGTTCGTGTAAAAACACCATATATCAACAGAATAAATGCAAATAAAACACAAATACAGTAAATTAACAAGTATGTCCTGTTTATAACAGAGTAGTTGACACCTGTTGAGCTAGTTTGAAAAGCACACTTTTGTTCCAGATTTCTCTTTGATGCCCCTGGATAACACAAGTTTCTTAAATTCCATCACCAGCATATTTGATTTAACATAATGAAGTGTTGATGAAATAAAACGAATCACATAAACCACATAAGTACAAATAGTGCTGGGCTTCCTTGAGTAGAGGTTTTGAAATGGTTAAGCAAACACATTGAAATAATGTAGAAATACATAAAATCCTTTTTTATTATTGTTATTTGTTTTTATTCTTTGTATTTTTATGAATACACACGCTGCCTAGATGAACAGCGCTTTGAATCTAATTTTAATTCTAAGTTAACTTTACACCTAACATTCTAACGTCAACCCAAAACCTTACCCTAACCCTGACTCTGCTTCTAATCCTTACCCTGATGCTAATCCTTAACCTAATGCTAACCCTAACACTGTTGAGAATCAACTGAAACTCCCTTCTGCCACAAAGAAGGTGTAAACATTTCAAAAAATAGGTGATGTAATCTGTAAATAAACATAAAACATTATTGTTTACACTAAATAATGCAGTACTTCATACTTTATCGTATGTTATATGGGATATCCATAATATATGGGCTATTTTATATAGTAATATGCAAAAATTCATACTCTTCCAGTTAAATTACATGTGAAAATAAGTTAATATGTCTAATAATATGTCAACTAATCATGTATTGATCAACTAACCATGTAATTTATCAGGTGCCCAAACTTTTGCATATGACTGTAAATGTATCTGCAACAAAATTGGTATAATATAATTAAAAATAGTCATTCCAAAGTTTTGAACAGCATTGTATGTGTTTTCAGTTGGACTCCTGAAGGATGCCATCAAATTATAATCATGTTTATAAGCAGTTCTTTTAAAATTCATAAATGTTAATAGATTTTAAGCTGATAAAACAAAGTTAAGTGCATTTTTTTGTGAGTAAAATGGGCCTTGGGTCACTAAAAATAGCTGGGATGATTCCGGTTGAACTGAAATGGTTGCTGTTGAACTTTGTGAACTTTACTTATAAACAGATTAAATATGACTGCTAGCACACTTAAGACTTCTAAAAAAAGGTGAATGAAATGAAACGCAGCAGCTGAAATGAGCAATTATTGATTCCTTCATTTATCAGACACACAGGAAGATGACGTCTGATGACGTTCACTTAGCATTTTTAGACCCGTTGTGTTTAAAAAGTCAAAATCAGTGAGGTGGAGGTTGTACCGGGATGCTAAGTAGACCCTCTAGCCACACCCAGAGGTCTGGTGTCAAAATACATCATGCACTTTACGCGGGTGAGATTACCCACTGCTACACAAATAAGAGTGTGATGAGGAGAAATGAACAGCAGTTAAATATTAAACAGCTGTGACGGTGTCTATAGGGATGCTGTGATTAATGTGTTATGAGTGTATTTAAAGCTGTCCACATCTCAGGGTTCCACAGGAGCATTTTTAGATGGTTCCAAAGTCATAAGAGACCCGTAATGTAGCAATTGTTAAAGGTCCCAGAATGAGAGCACTTTCATAAGTAATACGTAGATGCTGCACTTACTGACACAGCTGCAGACTGATGTAGCATCACATTTATGTCTGTTTTATTGTCTTAATGCTGCACTATTTAAATATATAT